TTTTTCTGTCTAAACATATATATGATTGTAGCCTTAGCAACTTATCTGCAGAAGTAAAATATAAAGCCTCTCTTTCGGACGGTTTCATCCCAGAAGGCAAGGAAGAACAGGAGGGGGTGACGCACTCCCACCCCGCCTCCTCTGTGTGATGACAACATCCTCTGTTTGCAGAGTCCCATTTATGGCTTCTGTTGACTACAGCTGTAATAAACACTTTCCATTAAACGGCATAACCCCTAACAGAGAACAAATAAAGTGAACGACGTGATTGTCTTGACAAATGAACATTCGTGGTTTTCTAAACATAAAATTTAATTTTACAAAAAAGAGAAGTAATCTCACCAAGTCTTCATAACTTCTGCAATGCTCTTTTCCTTCCCAATCCAATCTTTTAGGAAGTAACTAAAATTAAAAGAAATAAGAGAGAGAGAGAGAGATGGGGTACAGTAGAAGGAGAAAGGTATTACAAACGCTTGCACCAATTGTGTAAAACTTCTGACTTTAAGAAACCGCATTTAAAATAAATGGAGGAAGGACAGAGTAAAATCGAGGGGCATATTGGGAGAGAATTACATTTTAAAAACGAACAGGAAGAGTGAAACAGACCTGGTGCTGTTCCAGTTCTTGCACCAGCACCTGTAGAGGAAGGCAGAAGCAGGTATTTTGAGTGAGGGTGGGGGTAAGGAGGTTTTACAAATACAAAGCGCAACAGCCAACCGAAGTGAGGGGGGCGCTATGAAGCCCTTCACTACGGGGGGGTTAGGGTGCTGATTCGGGAGGACTCACCTCAGCTGTTCTCCTGCAAGGCCCAGTGGTCAAGAACCGAGCTATGAGGAAGTATAATTCTACGAGACAGAAAGGGAGAGAGAGAGATGAATCTGGAGCTAGGCTATGTTGGAGGATGGTGGGAGGGGGCGAGGGATCCCCTTAGGTGACTGTAATTCATAATCAGAATCTCCAATAAGATGGCGGCCGTGGAACAGGGAGCCCCGAGCGCTCGTCTCGCTGACTCCCCGCTCCTCTCCTCCAACAGCGACGCTCACTCTATTACCTGACTCAATCAGTGGCAGAGAAACGCTGCCGGTGCCTAAGGTAGAACTGGAGGCCGGCGAGGACTCGGCCATATCCGCAGCGGCCACCGTTGCCAGCACAAGATTAGGACTCAGGGCTCTGCCTGGCGCGGCGGCGGCGGCGGCCCAGGCCTGGCTCGACATAATCCTGTCGACGCCTCCCCTCCCCCTCCGCTCTATGTCTATGTATATATGGGCGGGAGGGGGCGAGAGAGAGGGAAAGGGAGCGGAGCGGAGCGGAGCGCGGTGTGGCGGATGGGCATGCGCACGCCGACCGAGTCGCTGCGCTCGGGCCACCTCCCTTTCGGCGTGGCTGCCATTTCTGCCGAGGGGCCTCGCTTGCCTCTGACGTCGATTGTAGGGCTGAGTAAAAGCTGCGAGGGCTGACGCGAACCGGCCGAGAGAAAATAGTTCCTCGTTTACGAAGGGGCTGAGCTAGCAATAAAAATGACAGATGGATGCGATGCTATCCGCGGGTCATGGGCAGTTTAGTTGGTTTAAATCCTGAAGTGCGGTGCGTTTGCCTTTACCGGGAAACGGCGAACTCGTGTGAAGGAGCGCGGAAGGAGACGCGGCTTCTTCGTTTAGCTGAGACAGCAGCTTTGGGGAAAAGGAAGCGAGGAGGGATTGAAACGAGCCTCTTGTGTTTGATAGGCACAGAGAGGCAAGGCATATTTACTCAAGAGTAAGTCCCATTATATTCCATGGGGCTTGCTTTCAGGTAAGTATGTATAGGAGTGCAAATGTTCTCACAGACTTGTTCCGAGAGGGTGGTGCGAATTAAATCGGACTTTCTCCACAGGTGATAGTTATGTTTTTCGTTCTTGCTTTCAGCGGGCAGATTTAGGAGGAAGTAAGTTGCCTTGCGTTCAGTAGTAAGGATTACTCCCAGGTAAGCATACATAGGATTTGATGTTTCAGTGTGCGAGGAGCATACGTGGATGGAAGAGAAATTGTCCTTCAGAAGAAAAATGAATTATAAGTGTAACCGGAGGACACACATTTCATCCTGGAGGATCGATAGAAAAAAGTCATTTATATCGTGAGAAATGCCAGTTCAAGTTTCCAAAGATAAAGGACAATGTAGTAATGTTGGTTGTGCTTAAATTTCTTGTAAAGCTAGATACAGTAGATCTGGTGGAGCTTATTTTCAAGAGTGCATATTACACCTTCATTGAAAACGAAGCTCACATGAAATAAATGTAAATAACATAAAATTAAATAAAGGATATTTTATATATCTTATGGATGTATGTGAATAAGGGACAACTTTTACATCCTCCACAATTGTCTCATGTACCAAGGAAGGGAAGCATGATGGAAGACATTTGCAGTATTAACATTTTGTAGTATGATTAATCCCCTTCTCTTGCATACTTGGCAGTTCTGTTTGTTGGAGTGGGATTGGGTGTTTCTATCCAGAATCCAAGGCAGGGGTGCCTGTAAGAGTTCTGAGAAGATATTAGCAATGTTCGCAAGCCCCTACAAATATTTTGGAAATGTGCTCTTTCTCTGTGATCACCAACTTCTCCCTTGTGAACTCTAAGCATGCACTTCATGAGACTAAAGAAACAGCTCCATACTGTGCACCATTATCTGAGTTATCACTGACATGTGGGATTTATTTATTGCTGGTGGCCAGGTGTGTTGAATGAGTACAGAGCTGTACCGTATTCTGTTCTGATGTGGATGAGAGTTGGCTGATGTTGGTGAAGAATTCTTTCTATCACATCTGAGGGTAGTATATTCCATTACTTACATGGCATCCTTCTGTACTGGAGAGCTATATATGGTGTGAGTTGTTCTTCTCTGTGTTGGTCTGTCCTACACACTATGTGGCCCCATTTTGGCTCCTCCACTGATGTACCTTTGCCAGCAGAACACTCTTTAAGCTCCTAAATACTTCCCTCAAGTAGCAGCAAGGGAAATTACAGGGGAGTTTTAAAACTCATCTTCTCCAGTTTCATCCTGCCTATAATGTTCAGCAGATTGCTAGAAAACAGCTGAAGGTGGGAGAAAGGGGAATTAATTCCCATTTCTCCCAATCTTCAGTTGTTTCTGGTGATAAACCCTCCTTCCCTTTCTTGCCTCACTGCTGCTCAGCTGATAGTGAATATTTGTGTACACACACTGCTACTTAGTTGGTCTCTGTCTTGTGTGCAAACCTCTGATCCCACCCATCACACCATGCTGCCCCAGAGAGCATGTAGACCTCCAACTTAAAGTTTCTCAGCCCTTGAGTTAAAGTTTGCTGAGAAAAGTTTTACTTCTTTCTCAGCTGCATAACTTGATAATCAAAAGGAACTTTGCTATGTTCCATCTACAAATGTTGAAAACGTATACACTTTAGAAAACTTTAGATATATATCTGAAGGAACAGTAAAAAATGTGTTTTAGAAATGGATAAAAACAAATTGATGCAGAATAATTTCAGGTGTTCCACACAGCCTAACTGATTTGTGCAATTCTGAAAAGTTCTCCCTGAACAGCATTATGCCACATTTTCCTGCCCCTTCTCTCCCTTTGTCTAAGTAGAAGACTGAGCCAGCAGAAGGGATACACCACTGTATACCCTCAATCTGGCTGTGTTCCAGATGCTAAGGAGCTTTGTAAATGTTTGGGCTTTCCCTAGAATTGTCATCAAGGTTTGGACAACACACACAGCAAACCCAGGAGTGATTACAAAACCCTATAAGCCATGGCTTGTTGCGGTGGCTTCATAGCCACAAGCCAACCTGTGTTGAAGTGATATACGCTGGTTTCAATCAACATGCTAAACCATTGTGGCTTTGAATCTACAGAGGTTTAGCACATCATGCAAATAGTGACAGTGTGAACTAGCCCTACAAATGTCTTAATAGTGGAACAGCTGCCAAAGATGTTGTAAGCCGCCCCGAGGCCTTGGCAAGGGGTGGCATAGAAATGTTTTAATAAATAAAAATAAATAAAGACCACTGATATATCACTCAAGAATAAGCCATGATCCTCTTTAAAACACCCCATAGGTTTATATAAGCCACCATAATATTGTTTCTTCCTCAGCTTAGCTTCCTTTAAAAGGGTTTTGATAAATGTATGGAAAATAGTAATTATTGCTATTAGTAATGATAGTTAAATATGCTCCTATATCCAAAACCAGTATGCCACAAGATGTTACTACAAAGAGGAAAGGGGGATCTTTTCCCTCATGCCCTATTTGTAGCTTTGGTTACCATGGTAGGAAAAAATATCAGACTAAACAGAACTGTGGCCTTATCCAGCATTGGCATGGTGCTTGGAGTGTCGGACTAGGGATCAAGAATCTAGTGCCCCCTTGACTATGAAGCTCACTGGGTAACTTTGGGCCAGTTACTCTCAGGCTAACCTACCCCACAGGGTTGTTCTTGTGAGAATAAAAATGAAGATGTAAGCCATCTTGGGCTACTTGCAAGACAAAAAAGGGTGGATTAAAATGCAATAATCATCCATCAGGCCATGTACGTCCCTTCCACATTTCCAAGCCATGAGCTATTTGGATCAAGATGGAAAAGTTCAAAATGGGCCTCAAGCACTGAGTCTTCAATAATTTCATATCAAGTTGTACAGCTATAAAGGGGGTGCCAAACTCATCTCAGCTGAACCCACTTCCCAAAATCTCAGCATTATTTTGTCACTGTAGCTGGAAAGAGTGTTATTTTATATTGTAAAGTGCCAATTTGCAGGATTGTAGTCACTGGAGTAGACAAAAGCATGTCACTGAAGTGTGGAATTTTCAAGTGTTGAACTCTAGGCCATACAAAGTTCCTGTTCCTAAACTCCAGATGTATTATGCAAACATTGACTGATAAGTGCCCATCATACTCAACTGTGAAGTGGCATGCCAACTTTCAGCATGGAGATTTTGAGCCTGAAGATGCAGCGAAATCTGGGAGACCTTCAACACTGTCAACTCCTGAAATAGTTGATTGTATTACCTGATTTTGGCAGATTGGTGAATCTTGACTAAAACAATTGAGACACTAGAACTATCCAAGGAATGCATTGGGTTTATACTTCATGAGCAGTTAGGTATGCAGAAGCTCTTAGCCAAGTGGATGCTGAAATGTTTGAACAGAGTTGATTTAGAAACATTTTGAGCAAAAGCAGGTTGCTTACCTGTAACTGATGTTCTTCAAGTAGCCATCTGTGCATTCACACATATGGGTTGCTGCGCCTGCGCAGTGCCTAGGCCGGAAGATTAGAAAGCTAACAGTTTTTTGGCGGGAAAACTCCGCTCCCCTCCTCCTTTGTGGTATAAATAGAGCGGAGTGTCCGCCATTTTGCTCAGTCTTGAAGACCGCACGCTCGCCCTCTAGAGGTTAAAAATAAAGTAATGATAAGACACAATTATATTCCCACAGTACCGATGTGAATTATAGTATGGTACTGAGAACAATCTCTAGTCAGCAATATAACCCCCCGGTACCGATGCCATTAATATTTCGGTACCAAAAAAAAAAAAAAAAATACACCCAGCGACATAATCCAAATGGTACCGAAGCAAATTATAGTATGGTACCGAGAAAAAACATGATATCCACTCACCAACACCGAGTGGGGCCGGCGGGTGGGTTGTGTGAATGCACAGATGGCCACTTGAAGAACATCAGTTACAGGTAAGCAACCTGCTTTTCTTCGTCGTGGCCTCTGTGTGTCACACATACGGGTGATTCGCAAGCTTACCAGACTTGGTGGAGGGAGGTGTCATCATTGAAGAACGGATGAGAGAACAGCTCTACCAAAAGAGCAGTCCTGTCTGGCACGTACATCAAGCCGATAATGCTTGGCGAAAGTACATGGACCAGCCCAGATCGCAGCTCTGCAGATGTCTTGCAACGGAACCCCTGCGGCAAAAGTGGACAAGGTCGCTACTGCTCGTGTAGAATGGCCAGTTGGAGAGACAGGTAAGTCTATTTTCGATAGCTGATAAGCCAGGACAATAGTCTGGGTGATCCAATTAGAGAATCTCTGAGATGATATCAGTGATCCCCTTTTTTGCTCAGAGTATTTAACAAAAAGTCTTAGTAGTACGAAAAGATTCAGTGCGGGATCTGTAAAAAGCCAAGCAGCGGCGAACATCAAGCGTGTGTAGAGCACGTTCTATCGGGGTCGACGGCGACGGAAAGAAAGCCGGTAGAACGATAGCCTGATTCAGGTGGAACGATGTGGCCACCTTGGGTAAAAAGGAGAAATTCATCCGAAGGACAACTTTTTCCTTATGGAAGTTCAGAAATGGTGGGTCTATGTGGAGAGCACAAAGTTCGCTAGCTCTTCGTGCTGATGTAACCACTACTAGAAAGGCAGTTTTCCATGACACCAGGCGTAAGTCCGCAGTTGCTAAAGGCTCGAACGGTGGTTTGGTAAGCGCTTGGAGTACTACAGAAAGACTCCACGTCGGCATGGCAGGGCGAATAGACGGATGTAAATTTTGTAGTCCCTTAATGAAGCGCCGAACCAGCGGTTGTGAGAAGACTGATAACCCGTGTATAGTGCCACGATAATGGGATATAGCAGCTGCATAAATTTTGATGGATGACGGTTTAAGTCCCTCATGATGCAAATGTAAAAGAAATTGTAAGATATTTGTGATTGAAGCCGTTGCAGGGGAGAACAAATGGCACTCCGCAAAAGAGGAGAATCTTCTCCATTTAGCCATATAGGAACGACGAGTGGACGGTCTTAATGCAGATTCGATAATCGCCTGAATTTCTCTGTCGGTAGGCATCGGTATCGTGATATTCGCTGTCGAATTCGAAGTCGGGGCTGCATATACCGTGTGTTGAGCGAGGTCACCCATAGCGTGAGGTGTCCCCGGTACCGACTTGGTGACGTGAATTAGGTGATTCGCCATGCCGTCAGCATCAGAGAGAATATATCAGGATGGTGGATCACTCCTCCTCGTTGTGTTAACAACTGCAGGAGAGTTGGTAGATGAAGGAACGTTCTTCTGGACAGCAGCAAGAGAGTGGTAAACCATGGTTGTCTTGGCCGCCACGGAGTCACTAGTATCCCTGTGGCCCTGTCCTGGGCTATTTTTGTTACCACTCTCGTCAGAAGTGGGATTGGAGGAAATGCATAAAAAGTCATGTTGCTCCAAGGGACCATGAGATATCTCCCATCGATCCCGGCCCGACACCCGCTCTGGAACAGTAAAGGGCACACAGGCTGTTCTGTCGCGTGGCGAACAGGTCCACATCCAGGTAACCCCACAAGCGGAAGAGTTCCTT